GATGTAAGGCAGGTTTGGCGACACCGTTGGATGTTCAGCACACAGTGAAATAAAACAGTGTGAGGAGGTCCTCAGGCGGGACAAAGACCTTGATATGTAATGAAGTCACTGCTGGGCTCAGGAGCACAGATGACTGAGCACAGCTCACCGGGCTCTCCATCAAAGCTCTGCCATGCAGAGCAGAGGCCAGATGTGAGCATGATCCTCCACCTCTGCCCACCCCCAGGGCCCATTTAACGGAGGCAGAGTGGAGAAGCCCTGAATGCTTTTCCCCCAGACCAATGAGGAGCGTCCAGCTTCTGACTCCATCAAATCAAGATGAGCTCAGTTTCCATTTCCTGCTCCACTCCACCTGAAGGCTGTCTTCTGTCCACAGAACTCCTCACAGGGCAGAGCGACCTGAGCTTAAAGCTGGGCATACATGGCTCCAGTAACAGGACTCCCTCACCAGGGCCCACCAGAAACTCAGACCGGTCTGGTGTTCCTCCCACCAGACGATGTGGATCTGGAGGAGGTGACAGGTTAATGTCTGCTCCTCACTCTGTGTGAGACTCCACGTGAGACTCTAAGAGCTGGAACCTGATCCAAGAGATGCTAACCCCCTGTGTACGCCCAGCTTTAGGGGCCTGCTCCGCCCTGGCTCGGCCCCGGACCCCCAGCTGGGGGGGGGGGGTTGTTTCCATGCTGGTTCCTGGAGCCCGTCCCCTGTAATGAGCAGTGTCCAGCTCTGCCTGAACACCTCTTATCAGGTGTGATCAGGGTTGGTACTGCGGCGGGATGCGAGTCTATTACGGCTCAGAGGAGATGTAGCCAGTATTTTCATTTCATGCAGAAAAGCTCGATTATCTTCCTCTGACACCTCTATAAATGTCTGCTCTGCTGTGACCATGAAAACTCCTCCCTGCCTCTCATGCATATTTATGGACCAGAGGAGGGCTGCGTGCACACAGATGCAGGCACAGGCAGGATCCACTCCGACCAGAAGCTGCCCTCACTCCGCCTCCACCACCACCACCGCTTTCTCTCAATCCCTTTCATTCAAAAGCAGCTGAAAATGTTCAAAAGCAAAATAGTTTTTTTCATTTCATTTTTACCATAGAAAACACTCTTCATTTCTGCTATTCAGAGGGTTTGCTTTTGGTTTTCATTCTTTTCTTTATTTAGCTAGTTTGTCGGACATGGATTTGGGGGATTTCTTTGGTGGTTGTTTGTTCTTTGGGGCGGTCAGTGAGCCCTGGGTGGTGAGTTCAAAGTCTCTGGGAGCTTTCAAAGAGTTTTAACAGCATTCAAATTAAACAGAGCTATTTCAATTTTAAAAAACTGAATCATTTACTCAAACTAAATAAAAGGAAAGATTGTGCTTTAAAAACTATGTCAATTATGAGCTACAGATTTACATCCCATTCAGATAGGACTGAGATTTTTAAAGGGATTTCAGGAAAAAAACAAACATCAGAAAAACTGTGTGCTTTTTTTCCACTGAGTTCCTCCAGTGAACAACGCTGCAGTTTTTTTCCCATTTTTTTAAACATTTTTTAACCTTTTTTTTTTTTACCAGATTTGACCCGTTTTTACCAGTTTTACCAGATTTTACAAGTTTTTACCTTTTTTTTTTTAACCAGAGTCTGGATCCTCCTGAGGTGACTGGTGAGGTTAAAGGTTACAGGAACAAACTGGTGTGTGTTTCTGACCCTCCCGTTTGGACCTTACTCTGACCCACGGTGCATGGGGGGTATGGGGGGACATGGGGGTACATGGGGGGGGTACATGGGGGGGGTATGGGGGGGCACCCTTGACTACCTGTGTCAGCCTGCTGGTGGATCTCAGGATCAGCTGACGTCTCCCCCTCTGCCCCCCCCATCACCTGTCCTCATCTCTTTAAAACACTTTTGAATATTTAACCCATGGAGATGTGATTTTTAGAAAATATTCCGATGATAAAAGTGCTGGTTTATTAAATCCAGGCGTCGAAAGAAATCCTGTCTGTGTATGTTAACTATCATTAATTATTATTATCATCTACCTTATAACACATTTTAGAACTATAATAATAAGATCTCAATAAATCTGTATAAAGTCAGATGTGTTTGGGTCCTGTTCATTTGAATCATATCAGTTTGAATTGAGCCAGATTTTTGTTTTCATTTCACAGTGTTCATCATTTTCTTTAGTTGCTGAATCCTCAGACCTCTGGGCCCTCTGAGCTCAGACCGGAAGCCTCCACACCAGCAGTAATGATCACCATAATTACAGCAGTAGCCAGAAGCCCTATGGAACCATCATTATTTATTACACTACATATTCTAATGATTGCTGTTGTGTGTCTTTCCTCAGCAGAACGGACTCTTTCATCAGCTCATTTCCATGTAAATTAAAGAGGCTTTATGGCCTTGGCTTTTCCGGCTCACACATCACGTGTCGTGGCTGAATTAAATCGGGATGCTTTGTGTGGATCTGGATGCTTCACAGTTTTCGATTCTTCTGGAGAAAGTGAAGTGTTTCTGCTGGATAATTGCAGAAGCCAAACAGGTAGAGCTCCCACACACAACCCGCAGAGCTCAGCCAACTCCGACTTCTGTTTCTTTCTTTCTGTCGTTCTTTCTTTGTCTCGTTCATTCTTTCGTTCTGATTTTCGTTTTCTATGTCTTTCTTTCTTTCTTGTTTTAATTTAAAATAGGGATTAACTATTATCTATTATTACGTTAGATAATGATTTATTTATTTTTATATATGAATTCCTAGGTTATATTCCCGTACAGGAATAATATTAATAATAAAATATTATTATAAATAAATCGCAAATCCCACGAGGCTAAGTGTATTTAATCGGTATAAGTGTCGCTTGAATTGTCGATTTTATTATTATTATATTCATTATATTTATTAGAGACTGGTTCTGTTAAAAAGAAAATAC